GCAGGAGGCCCGCCCACGCACTCTGTGCCCCTTGGCGAGCCTTTCTTTGGAACAAGTTGCATGCTAAATCTTTCCAGTGATTGGCTCATCATGCTCCAATGGCCTGCCTGCTTTGATACCAGAGCTTCTGCACCAGCTAGCATTTCAAGCATGGTGTGGCCAAAAGCAAACAGGTTTGGGCCAGCTGGGCTCAACAGCACAGTGACAGTGACGGCGCAAAAAACTGGCAACTTGAGTACTGGTGCACAACTTGAGTGGCCAGGTTTGCTTGCTCGCATACCTGTGGGCTGTGTGGAATGCGCAAAAAGACCGACATCTGCAGCCTCTCACTTTACTCCGAACAGGCCAAATCACAGCAAATTCACTGGGGCAGCTTGACATGCTCTTCATGCTGCGAATTCAATCGGCCTGCGCTTTGCTAAACTTCCGCTTGGGGGAAGCGTGGAAGCAACCTCTGACTCTTTGCGCATGGCTTCGCGCAATAATTTTGCTTGTCAAAGGAACAAATTGCATTGAGAAAATGCATCTCTGCTCTTTCAGACCCGTATGTTGTTCTTATTGTGACTTCCTCAAGGAACATCGCCTGCACATATCATCGATTCTTCTTCAGAATCGCAGTCGCCACCCACAAGAGACTCTACGTTACAATTTGCATCTGTGAAACCGTGCAGCGCGCGTCAGCCGCGGTATCTAGTGTGCCTTGGCGGGTCTTGGCGCGACGCGAATTGAAATACAGCGGGGCCATTCAATGCGTCGCCGTTGACACTCGAACGTCAATTGTTAAACCATATCTGCGTGACACAGCATTGACTCTGGAAATTCTTCCCAGCAGGATGCCCTTTTACGTTAAGATTCCACGACCCATAGCGCACATCTGCCTTTTTGCCGACAGGCCCAGGCCCACAGTATGTCTGAAAGAATGGGAAGCGCAATTGTGAATCAGTTTCCTAGACATGAAAAGAGGGCCTCCCTGATTCGTTTGGATTTTGCTCATCCAGTAGCACCCTGGACTCAACTTTGATGTGCCTACGCGAACAAAACGCATGCATTCCAAGAATTCCTCTGACCAACTCAACTTGAATGCAGTTGCTGGAAGCCAAACAAGCTATGACTCAAGGAAAGAACCGTGCAATTGTGTGTCCAGGGACGCGACACTGTTCCAGCTGAGTTTCAAGTTCAAAGCCCGATCCGAGGTTCTGTCACTCTCAGCCGCTCTAGACACCTTCCACATCCACTTTAAGATTCACCGTAGATGGTGATGCTTAAACCGTGAAAAACGGGAATCTAGACGACGCTGCTTTTCCCTGGCACTGGCTGGCGCCCCTCCGCGCCCCACACCCCGTGGCCGAGCGGCGACTTGCACACCGGCTCGCAGGCCTTAGGGCCATTGGCTTCTGTGGGAAAAAACATCGAAATAGTCTACGACACAGTGATCAACCTGGGTCGCGGTAGAGGTGGTTGTTGTTTTCCTTGGGCTGCTTCTGTCCTAGGAAGGGCTTGGACGGCAAGGGACTTGGTCAATCACAGTTGCGCGTGATTGCAACAATGTTCCAACAGCACTACAGGATGGTGTCCATTCAGAATGCGTCTGGTCAAGCACCCATCACTTGCCCACCTCTGGGCAAATGCAGCTGAGTCCGGCAGCACTCTGCAATGCAGAGCTGTTGCTGTTGGGATTGGTGACATGTCTAGGTCCCTCTTGATGCTTGCTGTGCCATATTAGTGTCTTGTTCTGGTCTAATTTGTGTTCCTGACCAAGCAGGCCACCATTGCCAGTGCGACCCGTCCGACCTCAATCCGGCACTGAGGTCCCGTCTGGTGCTTGGCTCTGCTTGCGCGAGAGCCGCAGCACGTCCTTGTAGTTGTCCTCACAATCCCATGGGCCACCCCGCTTGGCAAACCACTTGGTATAAGCTTGGGGTATTTGCCCTGCAACTTCTGACAAACAAACTACTTGCTACCAAGCAAAGAGAAAAAGGCCATCCTTTGTCGAACTGGACAATTGGAAGGGTGACACTAGCTCGGAACTGGCACCTCGCAAGTTTTGAGTCTTCTCAAGGCCCATCCTGAGCGCCGTAGGACTGGAGCATGTTGGCAATGATCCCTCTTGCCTGCGCAGAGGGACGTGGGTCACCTGCTCACTACAGCTCAGGGTCTCACTACGCTGGTTGGGAAGGATAGGTCACCAATCATTCCAACTGGCAAAAGCCTAAACCAAGGGAGCATTGGACACAAGTCAAACATCTGAATAGTCCGCATGCACACCAAGCGAGACAGGTACAGAAGACGATGGTGACTTGGAGCCTTCTGAAGATGCTGTCCGGCGCACTTGTGGCTGTGTCAGACAGCTTGGCCCTAAACAGCTGCAAACAAAGTTGCCTTGAACACAGTCTTCCTGCCCTCTATTCAAGTCGTAGTCTGGTTGCATATCCCTCATAGGAGCCTCATATCCCTACTCTACATTCAATCCGCAGCTGAAGAGCCCAATATCGACCCAGATGAGCCTATCAACGGACACCACGCTTTGAAACCAAGGCGTGGCTGATGCAAGTCACGCCTCACTCTGCTCCTCCGAGTCATCTGTCCGCGTGCGCTTTGCCAGCGACCTCACCGCTTTTCGAGCGAGCCACAGCACCATGCCACCCTGGTCAGGTTATGTTTACAAACGCGCCAGCACCACAAACATATCCAAACCACCAACCAGTTCAGCCACATACAAGTAACATCTTGGCTGGCACGATTGCCACAAACAGCATTCAGAGTTCATGATTTTTCACGCATGTGCTAACATGAGCGAGCCCATGTACAGGACGTGTGCACGCCTTTCCTCACTAGTTGGAAGTCAACAACATCACCGGTATCTGCGGTGGTAGAACTGAAACGCTCCACCCTTGAACCATATTGGAACCAACTGTTCTCCATAGGCACGTGATACCAGCTCGGCTGTGATCTTGCGAGATTTTTTTTCAGATCCATGAAGAAAACGACCACCTCTGCCCCATGCTGGAAAAACTAAAAACCTCCCACACCAGCCGCAACCGTCGGTGAGTCCGATGCCTCAGCTCGCAGGGCTCCCGGGGCTCCTGGGGCTCCCGGCAGCGGAGTATCGTTGTTGCGGGTGATGACATTGGGATCTGCCTGCAGCCTGGCACCCGAAACACCAGGGGTCCCTTCGCCTTATAGCTGACCGAAACGTAGACACATCAACTCAATCTGGGGTAGACAAGTGGGACGAAGCGTTGCGCACCATATGCATAGAAGAGACACCGCGGAATCTGCAAAATGGGGGAAAACTGAGACAAACATGAATCACTGGCAACTTATCAGCCAACCAACCTTGTAATATGAAACTATGGCCTTCCTGGGCTGTTCAAAATGGAAAATGGCCAATCCAAATCCAACAGCCCACGTGGAACCCCAATACGAAGCGGACCAAATCCAGTCGTACCCAAACAGAAGTATTCTTCGAGCCCAGCCCTCCATATGGCTTTGGTGCTCGCCTATCGACTGCAAAACATCGAGTGTAGCGACCTTGGTACCAAAAAAGACATGGGCTTGTCCGTGTTATACTGGCCTCATTATTTTACCATGATCAAAGTCACCCCAAAGTGGTGGGTCAAAGGGAACCCATCCCATTTTCTGACTTTGATAGCCCCCAGAAACCGTCAAAATAATGCCCCCCAGTTATAGCCATACGACATCGTCGCCCGTTCGGAACTTCGCCGGCGGCGCTCCAGAAGTTTGAAGGCCAGTGGCAGGCAGGCGTCCGCGCAGGCGACGCAGAGCGGCGTCCACTGGCGAATCGGAGGCACTTTTTGTCTACGGACCTCCGTGGGTTTTGTTTTGCCGAAGGAAGCCACGCTGAAACCCTGTTCCTTTTTGGTGTGGCTTGAAATTCCAGGTGGATGTTCCCTGAAATGGGGATGTTTTGACTTGGACATGGACCGATTGACAGATATTAGAATCAAGGGATACATAGCCATCAACCAAAAGGTTGTACTGGCTTGAAGCTTTCCAGCCACCAGCATTCATAGCCGTGATCATTCCTGTGTTAATGTCCTTTACAGTTCCCTTCACAGTTTCCTTCACAGTTCAATAAATGTCAGGTCCTCTTGAAATCATCTTGCAGGCTGGAGCACCTGGAACAACTGATATCGGACTCGCATGTTTCTCTGTCTGGCCCTTCAGAAGCAGTCTTGAACCGCCTGCAGTGTACAACATCGGGGCGAAAAAACAAGTAGAATCCTGAGGGCCCTCAATCTTGCCTCGTGTCCTCCGGCTACCAAGTGCTGCGAAGTGACGTAGACACTCCTCAACTCAACGGGCGGCAACCAGCGGCCCGCGCCCCGTCGTTCGTGCGGGGCGTGTTGATGTCAATGTTGCCCTCGTTGCCCTCTATGAGCACTTTCTGGCAGAAGCGGAAGCCATGGCTCCCTCCCTGGACCCCCAGGAGGGAGGCAATGGGGCCCTGGACCCATGTCAGGTTTGCTGCCTACGGCCAGCAGCAGAAAAGCAACCTGCGACACACTTGGTCCTAGAATTGGCAAATGGATTCCAGCTGCCAACTATCCCTCTTCCACAGCGCTGCGTGTTCAATGTTTACCCGATGCGTAAAGCGGTTTTCGCCGTTGTGTCTATCACTGCGCGGTGCCTTGTTGCTTGAGGGATGTGATACATCACCTAAGTTTATGAGGATGTTGAGCAACCAAAGCCTCTTCCCCGGGATGCAAGTATCTTTCCCAGTCAATGAGCAAACAATGTTAATGACACGTCGTGAACCACTTCTAGCTGAAAGCTCTTGGTCATCTCTGCTGGCTCAGGTAAAAAGGAACGGATGGAAAATTAGGAACGAACGTCCCCGGCTAGTGACTTCTCCCCTGAAAAACCGGGCCAAATTTCTCAAAGCGGTGCAATGAAGGACAAGCGAACGGCAGAGCGCACCAGGATGCGCCAGTTGTTGCTGAAGTTCTCGCGGTCCACCATTTCGCACACCGAGTGCAAGGCCTCCGCTCGGCTGCGGTTTGTGTTTGGATGGTCGGTTGCTG